AATATGCGCAATAAGTTCGGCTTTTCTCAAGCGTGAATAACCTCTCAATCCGAGGCTTTTTGCGAGTGCTTTCAATTGAAGCACTGTTTGTGAATTCAGTTCTGACATATTTCATCTTTGTCAATATTTTTTTTTTGTTTAATAATTTTTTTAAATCAATTTTTTTTTATTAAAGAAAAGTATACCAAAAATTTTACTCAAATTTTGACTGAGATTTTTTCTGATTAAAAAAAATCTCAGTCAAAATTTGGGCGAAATTTGGGTGATAATTTGGGCGATTTTTTTTAATCAGAAAAAATCTCAGTCAAAATTTGGGCGAAATTTCTGATTAAAAAAAAAAATGAAATGCGCTGAACCGGCAATATTCCTACTACTAACACCCAGACACATTGAGGAGTTACCAATCACTCGGAGCAAAACAGCACGAGTTGGGCGACTTTGCTTCGGCGCTTCACTCGAAACAACGCGGACTCGACATCCAAGTTAAGCTGTTTGGAATAGAACACCCAGACACAGCGAGGAGTTATCATTCACTAGGAATATTACACAGTACAAGCTTGGCGACTTTGCTTCAGCGCTTCAGTCAACACAGCGCGGACTTGACATCCAAGTTAAACTGTTTGGAGAAGAACATCCAGACATATCGAGGAGTTACCAATCACTCGGAGTAACACAGCACGAGTTGGGCGACTTTTCTTCAGCGCTTCAGTCCAAACTGCGTGGACTTGACATCCGAGTGAAACTGTTTGGAGAAGAACACCTAGACACAGTGAGGAGTTACGAATCACTTGGTTTGACACACACTTTCTTGGGCGACTTTGCTTCAGCGTTTCAGTCAATACAGTGTGCATTTGCCATCCAAACTACACTGTCTGGAGAAGAACACCCAGACACTGCCCAGAGTTCGAGTACGAATCACTCAGAGTAACAAAGCACGATTTTGACGACTTTGCTTCAGCGCACAACACGACCTCGCACAATTACAACTCGTTACTTTTAAAGCGCTTCAACTGCCCATAGATCATTACATTGAAAAACACCCAACAATTCAGAGCACATTTAAATCGCTATCCACGACCTCGGCCGCTATTATGCGATCCCTTCTCTCACGTGACATTTTGTAAACACCCTTTTTTCATTTTTCTTTCAAACATGTCACTGTGGTTGATCGCTTTAGAAAGTGACGAAAACTTGTTCGATTCTGCAGCCCAGGAACATGTTTGAGAAGTTGAATCGCCTATCGTGCTTTGTGAAGTTTTGCTGCCCCATTCTGAATGGAAAAAATTAAAGAATATTTTTAGCTTGGCCTCATGGGGGGGAATGAGAGAGAATCCCAAATCAAAATTCTAACATTTAGTTACACTTGATAACTTGAAATTACTTTGCGATTATTACTAAAGCTTTAAGCTAAAATGTTTTCAAAATGTGCCGGAGAAGTACAAAATTAATCGAATGGTCTAGGACACATCCTTTGCACATTTGTCACAACAAGTAAGTGATAGTTAGTGGATCCAATCAGGTTTTTCCATTTACACTGATCTTGTCTTGCGGAATGATCTTCTTCTTCAGCGAAGATAGTCGTTCAATTTCCTGGAGTTGACTACATGTGCTACAAACCGGTCAGTCAGTCGGTCAGTCAAGGTAGTTTTGGTTTTATCAACTGAGTTGATAATGTAAATTGGCCACCACAAGGAGTTTCAGAGCTGACGTTTGGAGCGTTAGCCGGAGCAAATGTCGCTCAGTCAGTCAGAGTCGTTCGGTCAGTCAGTCAGTCAGTCCGTCGCTCAGTCAGTTGGCTCGTTACTAGCACAAAATTCACACAAACGAAAAGATTGAAAACAAAAATGTGAACGTTTGAAAAGGAAAAATTTAAGACCTTTTTACCTCAAAGTTAAGTTAATTGCAAGTAAGTTAGGCTTTTCACTTTCTCTATACACCGTGAATTACAAGCTTTTGTAATTGATTGACAACTTGATTCTAACAGCCTGCAGGCCACCTCTGACTCGTTTTCAACCTTCTTGCATTATCAGACGTTTAACTTCTGTCTTAGTAGCTGTTAGAGCAATGAAAGATTTCACAGGCACTGGCTAAGAAGAAAATCAAAATGAACTATCTTCACCTCAGACCACATTTTATTGCAAAGAGGTATACGACCTTAATTACACATCTAATTAGTGGCTTTAAAATACGACTTCTTCGAAAATATTAGCAGAGTGTAAACAGAAAAGAGACATCTAACAAGTTTCAATAATAATAATAATTACAATAATACACGTTCAGCATTTTTTATAAATAAGTTAATCAGTTATCAACTCAGGCCAGCTGCTGTCATTAAAAGCCAATTGCTGCAGTGAGGCTGTACACCATTTATTGTTATACTTTTTTATAGATCTTTTATTTACAATGTTATTCGTCAGTCGAGAAGATCAATTTGACAAAGCCGTCTTCACTCTCCAGAGGCTGAGCACAGAATGGGCATATGGCTTGAAAAGCATCACATCCATGAGGAATGGGAAGTTGTTACCAAAACCTGCATCAAAAGGATAAAAAAAAAAACCACCACTTTATTATCGATTCTCCTTCATGAACGAGACACGTTGATGTTATCTGTGAGAAGTTAACAGTTCATAAGCATCTGTTGACCTTTTTACGTACTCCAAGATCAAAATATCAATTCTCTAAACTGTCCGTTCTAAATTTCTCACAATTTCAGCTCTGAGAATTTGGTATTAAATCAAACAAAATTCCCCTTATCAATATTTTTCTTTCTTCTCACCTAGCTCTTCTCTGCTTTAGAATGTATTGTTATTGTTAGGGTAAATTCCTTTGTTCACTCGGTGGAATACAAGGGTCAAGTTAGTATTTTGGCTGACAAAGTGTCTCGTATAGGATTGGAACTCTGTTAAACTTCCCTAACAAACTGTTAAGTTATTGGTAAATTTTTGCTGTTACATAGTGTGACTTTACAGGCTGTGAACTATATTATAAACCATTTTTTTGTTCAAATAGCTTACAAAAGGTCTTAGGGAGGAACTCTAACGAGAGAAAGACAAATTGAACTCTTTCAGATGCAACTGTTCTTCAGTTGCTAGGGTATCTCATTCTGGAGCAGCAGGGAACCTCACCTTACTGTTTCCTCCGAGCAAACATGTCCACAAGGTACAAAAGCATGTGTAGCAGCAGGCTCTCCCTGATAGAATGCAGGTTCTTTTCCAAGAGTCAGCGGCACATACCTGCTGACCTGGTGAAGCAATGGAAATTGTGGATGTTGCTTGACACTAGCTAGCTTAAAAGTAAGATGGATGCCTTTGGTGTCAAATATTTTCCACAGTGGCCAGCCAGCATGCTGATGGAATATTTTCTAC